CGGGGCGCCGCCCTCGGACCGCGGGGCGCCGAGCGCGCGCAGGGCCCAGAGATCCCGGGCTGGGATCTTCCCCGGGCTGGACGCGGGCCTGGTCGGGAGACCCCCCCCCGCACCCCGAGGTCCTCGCTCCCCCGTCCACGCTCCCCCCCACCCCAGATCTGACAGGTCCTCAGTCCCAGGGCGCGGGAAGAGTTAGGCGCAGGTCCCGACGCTTGTAGGGAGGGGACAGGCCCGGTGGGGGCGGGGACCCCACTAGATTCATTTAGAATCTCTGCCCTCGCTGCGTCCCTCTGTCCCCCCCCCGCCCCCTTCAGACCCCTCCCCCGGCCTGGAGCTGAAAAGCTGGAGAGTCCGTGGGATGGGGAGGGCCCCAGGACCAGGGGTGGCGGGGACAGGGTGGAGGACCTGCGGGCTCGGGCCTTGGGCACACCTCGGAGCTCTGGGGGGGGCGGGCAGGTGAGGACCTGGGGTCTCACTGAGCTAGGGGCCCCCCATCAGAAGCAGGTGTGGCCAGGATGGACGGGCGTCTGCCTCAGGAGGCTGGGGTGACATCTGAAGCGAGCTGGGCAGCAGGCGGGTCCCTGGGCACCCCCACAGAGAGAGGCCGGGAAGGAGGGCTCCACCCCCTCCCTGGGGAGCTTGAGGACAGGTGATGGAATGCTCGCGTGACAAAGGACAATTCCCCAGCCCAGCGCAGGGCCAGCACTGTCCCAGCTTTAGCTCACAACTTTGGTAGGTGCTGTTCTAACAGACCAGGAAATTGAGGTCCAGAGGGCAGGTGGCCCGCCCCCAGGCCACCCACTCCTCGGCTGGGGGTGACAGCAGAGGCCGACAAGAAGGGCTGCTCTGGGGGAGGAAGGAGGCCCTGGAGACTCCAGGTGACAGAGGTGGCCAAAGGCTAGAGACCCATCCCGTTCAGTGTGGGAGGCACTTGGGTGGGAAATTAGAAACAAGGGAAAGAAGGCCCTGGGCCCTGGCTTTTTTAGCAGCTTCCCCCCGCCCCCCAAGCCAGGTGAGGGAGCTTGACAGACCAGAAACCTCCAGCAGAGCCCAGGTGTGGCCAGTGATGCGCTTCACACCAGGCTGAGCCGGGTGGGCTGCAAACCGAGCCTGTCTGCAGGAAGGCGAGGTCTGCGAGCGAGCGCTCTGGGCCCTGGACTTAGCATAGGGCGGGCGGGATGGATGGCAGGGACGCTCCCAGGGCATCCCCAGCGGAACTCAGTCTGCTCAGTCATTGCCCTGAGTCACCAGCCCGGGCAGCCCTGTACACGTGAAAGCCAGAGGGCCCGGGCTGCACTCCAGAAAGTTCCCAGCCCATCACCAGACATGCACCCCGAATGTACACACCTCAGCCACAGAGGAAGCCCCGCCCCGCCAGCCGGAGTTCAAGGGGGAATCATTTATGAGCCTCTGTACAGACATGACATGATGATGATGATAATAATACAAATAAAAATAACGGGGCAGGACCGGGCAGCGCAGGGCTGGGACCCCAGCTTCTGTGGAGGTGGAGACAGGAGGATCGCAGCCCAAGGCTAGGTGAATGGAGGCAGGTGTGCTTCCCGGCACCACGTTATGCACAGACGGGGCTTCAGGGAGCTCCTGCTTGTGACATTTCCCCAGGTGCCCTTGGGGCACCCCTCCACTGATTCCCCTGTGGACGCTTCCTCCAGGAGCTCCCCACGGGTGCCCCTCACCCAAGGGTCAGCCCCACCATCACGTTTTACCACACAAGCATCCTGTATTCTCTAAATCGGGGGGGGGGGTGATTTTCCTCCTTGTCCTGCAGATGAGGAAGCAGAGGCTGGAGGGGGGAGGGGGGGGGGGGGGGGAGGCAGCTGTTTAAGTTCCTGGCCTGACTGGGCCCCAGCCTTGGGTTGATGGCCAGGAGCAGTCCTCAGCTTCAGACCCACGCTCCTATCACGCTTGCCTGTGTGCCTGTGTCCTTAAGAAGCTAGCAACAGCTTCCTGCCCCGCCTCGCCCCCCCCCCACAGCCGCCCCAAAGTGGTCAGGCGGCTGCTTCCCTTTTTTAGGCTGGTCCTGGGGCTTGAACTCACAGCCTGGGCACTGCCCTTAGCTGCTTCTCTAAAGGTCGGTGCTCTGCTGCTTAAGCCACGGCCCCACTTCTGGCATTTAGTCAATTGGATTTAAGAGTCTCATGGGTTTTTCTGCCCAGCTGGCTTTGAAATGTGGTCACTAGGTGTCCGCCTCCTGAGCAGCTAGGATTACAGGTGGGAGCCATCTACCTTCCTTAAGGCAGAAGCAAGAGGGCAGCGGGCATTGCAGACCTTTCCTGGCCTTGCAGACCTTTCCCGGGCCTTGCAGACCTTTCCCGGGCCTTGCAGACCTTTCCCCGGCCTTGCATTGGGGGATGAAGCGTGAAGTCCGACTCACGTCACTGCCTGTGACCTACCATGTGCCCCTTCCCCGCCCCAGACGGGCCCAGAGGGTCTCCCGCCACCCCGCCTTGCAGTGGACCCTCCCTCCCCACTCTGCTCTCCCCACGGCCGCCTGCAGCCCCATGAGTGTAGGGAAGGGATCCCACACTTTCTGCTCGGAGGGCAGTATACCCCAGTGCTTAGCCAAGACCTAAACAGACAAAACCGCCTCCCCTGCCTCAGAGGACAGGACTGGGGAGGGACCCTTGCTTGGGGCTGGGCTGCGTGCTGCCCCCTGCTGGTCCTACTCCTTTTTAAGGTCAAAATCTGGGTTTTGCGCTGAGCCGTCTTTCCCTGGGGTCCACGCTAACCAGGAGATCGTTTTTCCCTGTCGGCCTCCCCTCCACCCCATTCTTTCTGTGTCAAACGCAGTGAACCTTGCAGCGGCCCTCTGAGGGCTGTAGTATTCTGTACTGATTAGGGATCGGGAGTTAGGGATCTGGTGGCACAGAGTGGTCGCGCTGAACCCAGCGTGGCGCAGCCAGGGTCAGGCCCAGTGGGTCTCTGAATGCAGGCAAGGGTGGTGTCCACCTTGCGCAGGGCTCTGGCTGCCTCTCCCTCCCTCACACCTTCCCAAAGGCTGGCGGCCCCTGAGCTCCAAAACCTTTCCTGTAGAGCCCCGCGGCCCCCTTGAGGGATTTCCCAGCTCTCTGTCAGGAAGGGGTCGCTCTGAATAATTCCCTTTTTCTAAGTGCTGCTTGTCCATCTTGTTAAACAGCAGTCATTGTCCTGTCCAGCGGAGGCCTGCGGAGGAGAACATGGCGGGGCAGTGGGTGCTCACCTCCGGGTCTCTGGGTTTGGATGAGTTAAGCACTTGCAGGCAGTGGACAATTCAGAGCTGTCTGCGCGCAGGACCCCGGCGGGCACAGTTGTTGGAGGCAGCCCTGAAAACCAGCTTTATTTTCTGTGGTTTATTTTTGTGCCAGTACTAGAGCCTTAACTTAGCTTTTTTTTGCTCTAACCTGTGGCTCCTGTTTTGTTTTGGGTTTTTTTGGTGGTTAATCGGAGATAAGAATCTCACACCCTTTCCTGGGGCGCTGGCTTTGAACCTCAGTCCTCAGATCTCAGCCTCCTGAGTAGCCAGGAGGACAGGCGTGGGCCACGGTGCAGGTTTAGTCACCAGGCAGAGACAGGCACGATGGCACATTGGCAGTGTGCACAGATCTGGGTGGGGGTGAGGAAGAAGAGGAAGAGACCCAGGAGAAGGTGGGAACACCCCTTCCGGGCCTCGTGGGGATGGCAGCTCCCCATTGTCAGGACTGAGCAGGGCTGCAGAGCATCTGGGGCGCCCAGCATGCCGGTGGCCTACAGGTGTACCCTTGGCGCCCCCCAAGGCTGCATGCCCAGGCTGGCCGCCCCCTCCGCCCTCCAGGCCTGTCGGGCGCGGCCCACTCCCACGCCAGGTCTGCCTGGGGCCTGGCTCTCCTGCCCCACGGTGCGGGGTGAGCCGCCAGCTCACCGTGACTCTGCACTTCTCCGACCTTCTGGGGTGCCCAGCGAGAGCAGTGTCCGCCCTTGGGCCTGGGGTGGGAGACGGGGCAGCAGAATGCCCGGGCGCTGGGCCCTGCCACGTTTTTTGGATCTGCCCCTGCCCAGCCCGGCTAATCCTCCTGGCAGGAGGTCCCGCCTCCCAGGGACCCGAGTGCCCCCACGCCTTGGAGCTGCACCAGAACCAAGTGCCGGTTGGCAGTGGGCCTACTGCCCCAAGCCTGTGTCCCGCCGCCGCCGCCCCAGGCCCTCCCTCCAGCGGGCCCTCACCTGCCCCCCTGTGGCCCAGGAGCCTCCGGCACCTAATGCAGAGCGGGGCTGGCATCAGCCAGGAGCTGGGGGACAGGGGCCACTCACTGGGCAGCTTCCCATAGCGAGAAAGCGCGCCAGTCCAGCCGGGCACAGCGCCACACAGCTGTAATCCCCGCTAATCCGAAGGCTGAGGCTGGGGGAGCTGGTGATTCTGTCTGGAAGACAAAATGCACAAAGAAAGGGCTGCAGGTGGGGCTCGAGAGGTTGAGTAGAGCTGGGAGCCATGGCTCACCCCTGTCACCCACGCTCAGGAGGCTGAGATCGGAGGATCACTGTTTGAAGCCAGTCCAGGTGAGAAAGGCTGTGAGATTCTTGTCGCCAATGAACTACAAAAGACAAACACACACACGCGCACACACACACACACACACACACACACACACACACACACACAGAGTCCCAGTTTGCTGTTCTGAGTACTGTGAGTGTGGGGAGCAAACCTGAGGCCTGGCTGAGGGCCCCCATGAAAAGGTCTTCTTGCTTGTTACTCTCTGCGGGCACAAAGGTGGGACCTGAGTGCCGGGGTCTCCCATGAACGCTCCGTTGAGTACTGTGCTCAGGAGCCGGCTCTGCCCTGTGCTGCCGGGGCCCCACCAGGGCTGGCTGTGCACATGGCCGTGGTCCTGGCCTGTCAGGACCCGAAGATTCACAGGGAGATCACGGAGCAGCCCGGACCACATCTGCGCTGTGTCCAGGCCCTTGAAGGCATGTTGATAGAACACTTCCTGCCCCCGCCAGCCTCGCTCACCACGCAGGCCCTGCCCAGCTGCAGGCAGAGCGGCTCCAGGACGGAACATCCCGGGGCTGTGGACACGGGGGGCTGGGCGAGTGACCACACCGTGAGCAGGAAAGTAGGAGTTCAGGCCGGCCACCGGGCACTGTCCCGAGTCCCTTCTCTCCTGTCTCCCCTGTCCCGCCCACAGGAGCAGAGCAGTGCCCCCTCCCTGCTGTATATAGAGGGAGGCCTCCGCCCCCCCCCATCAGCCCATCGCCCGCCCGCTTCCTCCACCCCAGCCCTGCGAGGGGAGCCTGCCTGCTGCTTTCCTAGCCTCTGCCATTACTAAGCAAGAGCTCTGCCACTCAGCCCCACCCCCAGCCTTTCGTTTTTCTTTTGTTCTTGAGACAGGGTCTACCTAACTCTGCCAGGCTGGCCTCGAATTTACAGGCCTCTTGCCTTCACCTCACAAGCGGCTGCAGATGTGGGGCAGGGGGCCAAGGCCAGGTCTGGGCCATCCTTGGACGAGGGGCTGGCGGAGTCTGAGTTCTGTAAGGGACTCGTGGACCCTTCTAGAGCGGTGGGGGATGTGGATGGTCAGGTGGGAGCGAGGGGCAGGCATGACCTGGAAGGAGTGGAGAGGAGCAGAGCCCAGCAGGCTGGTCCTGACCCAGGCAGGGCTGTGTGCACTGGGAAAGTGCCCAAGGCAGGCTTGATTCTACACACAAGCTTCAGGGACTGTCCGGGGCACAGTCAGGGAAGGCTTCCCGGAGGAGGAGAAGGCTGACCACTGAGCAGAGAGGGATGGGCGGCTCTCAGCTGGCCACAAGGATTTGGGGTCCTGCCGCAGCCTTCACTCTCAGGGCTGAGTGGGGGTGGGTAGTATCTGTGCAGTTGCAGGACCCTGGGAGGAACAGCAGATTGGTCAGGTGGGGCCGAAGCCAGATCCGGGCCCAGCTGGCCATCGGGCTGCTTCTAGGCTATGTCCAGCACAGCTCCATCCATCTTCCCTTATTGCCGACTGGCCTGGGCCAAAAACCAGCAGAGTTCTTCAGGAGTTCTAGGAATCCAAGTTTGGCCTCAGCTACAACCGTAGTACATTGTGCTTCTATGAGTAAAGACTCCCTTCCTTCCTTCCTTCCTTCCTTTCTTCCTTCCTTCCTTCCTTCCTTACTCCTTTCCTTCCTTCCTTCCTTCCTTCCTTCCTTCCTTCCTTCTTTGATGGGGCTGAGTTTTGAACTCAGGGCTTTGTACTTGCTAGGCAAGTACTCTACCACTTGAATCACGTCCCCAACACTTATTGCTCTAGGCCAGTCCGGACAGTGGTCTTCCTCTTTCTGTGTCCCACTGTAGCTGGGATGACGGGAATGAACCACCACTCCCAGCTCTTTCTTTTGAGTTGGGGTCTGGGAACTTATTTGCCTGGGCTGTTCTTGAACTGAGATTCTCCCAGTCTCAGCATGCCCTTGCCACTGAGGAGACAGGAGTATGCCTCTGCCCAGCTATTGGTTGAGAGGGGTTCTTGAGAACGTTTTGCTTTGACTGGCCTCCAAGCATGATCCTCCATATCTCTGCCTCCTCAAGTAATTCAACCATGCTACCACAGTTCTACCTCTTGTAGTTCCTGGATTCCTTCAGATGAGTAAGGAAACAGGCAGGGCAGACAAGGTCAGTCCCCTGTCCCAGAGAGTTGATGCTAGAGGGCCCCTGCTCCCTTCAGGCAGATGAGGGGTGTCAGTGCCTGGGGAGCAGCCCCCAGCTAGGTGAGAGAGGAGGGGCAGCTGGAGAAGCATGCGGCTTTCCTGCCCGTAGTCCCAGCCCTGGGTGGGCTCCTCGGGGTCACTCCGAGGGTCTCCAGCGTGGGGAGCCAGCAGCCTTGAGGCCTCCTGCCCCCTGGTCTGGTCAGAGCCAGCAGATCTTCACCCCTGCGTGGACAGCTGGCCCACAGCTTGGTGACGGGCCTCTGGCTGGATCCAGGCGTCGAAGGCTGGGTGAGGTCTGCCGGTGGGAAGGAGCCTTCCTTCCGGGGGTGGGGGGGGGTCCCTGAAACCCAGCCTGGGCCGTTCCTGAGGCAGGCCAGGCCGCTGAGCAGGGTGCCGCTTGGCATCGTCAGGCGTGTTCTAGAATGTGGGCTCCAAAAGGCCCAGCCCCTGTGGTGTCTTCCCCCAGGACAGCACTCAGCCTGGGGCACGTCTGGTCAGCACAGTCGCCCCTCTTGGAACCCGAAGGGCAGGGGTAGGGTTTGCTGACATCCATAAGCATCCACATGTTTCCACTGTCAGCCCCGGCGGGGGGCGGGTAGAGCACCCCGTGAGGCAGAAGGGCTGTGGCACCCTAGTTCCACTGTGCTTGGGGTATAGTGATGAGGTTTGTACATAGTCAGCTCAGATACAAGCCACCGCCACCGCCGCCGCCGCCGCCGCCTCCGCCTCCTCCTCCTCCTCCTCCTCCTCCTCCTCCTCCTTTCTTCTTGTGTGTGTGTTGGTGTGTGTGTGTGTGTGTGTGTGTGTGTGTGTGTGTTGGTACTGGGGCTTGAACTCAGGGTGCTGTCCCTTAGCCGTTTTGCTCAAAGTTGGGACTCTATCACTTGAGCCACAGTGCTGCTTCTGGCTTTGGTGGTGGTGGTGATGGCAGTGGTGGTGATGGTTAATTGGAAGCAAGGCTGGTAAAGAGACTTCAGATCTCAGCCTCCCGAGAGTGAGGATTATAGTTATGAGCCAGCGGTGCCTGGCAGCAAGGTTTCTTAGTGAATATTTTCTACCATAGATCAGTTAGAACTATAGACACAGAACCCATGGGCGCAGAGCCTGTGAGTCTGTGCTCCTTTGTGATTGTTGAGTGAGTAGATGAGTGGATGGATGGATTGTGGATGATGGGTGGATAGATGGGTAGATGATTCATGATGGATAGATGGTGGGTGGGTGGGTGGATGATTGGATGGTGGATGGATGGATGGGTGGGTGGATGAGTAGGTGGATGGATGGATGGATGGTTGGATGGTTGATGGATGATACATGATGAATGGATGTTGGGGGTATGGATGAATGGATGGATGGGTGGATGGTCAGATGGTGGATGGATGGATGGATGATACATGATGGATGGGTGGATGGATGGATGATACATGATGGATGGGTGGATGGATGGATGGATGGATGGATGGATGGATGGTCAGATGGTGGATGGATGGATGGGTGGATGGTGGATGGATGGATGGATGGATGATACATGATGGGTGGATGGATGGATGGATGGATGGATGGATAGATGGTGGATGGATGGATGGATGGATGGTCAGATGGTGGATGGATGGTTGGATGGATGGTCAGATGGTGGATGGATGGTTGGATGGATGATACATGATGGATAGATGGTGGGTGGGTGGGTGGATGGATGGATTGATGGTAGGTAGATAGTGGGATGGATGGATGGATGATTGGATGGTGGATGGATGGATGGATGGATGGATGGGTGGGTGGATGGGTGGGTGGATGGATGGATGGTTGGATGGTTGATGGATGATACATGATGGGTGGATGGTGGGTAGGATGGTGGGGGGGATGGATGAATGGGTGGATGGGTGGATGGTCAGATGGTGGATGGATGGATGGGTGGATGATGGATGGTTGGATGGATGATACATGATAGACGGATGGTGGGTGGGTGGATGGATGGTTGGATGGTGGGGGATGGATGGATGGATGGATGGATAGATGGTCAGATGGTGGATGGATGGTTGGATGGATGATACATGATGGATGGATGGTGGGTGGGCTGATGGTGGGGGATGGGTGGATGAGTGGGCGGCTGCATCTGCACATGCTCCCTTCACGGCCCACACAAACACCTTCACAGAGACTGTTTCCCTCTCCCGTCACCTTAGCTACTGAACTCCTTGTCCGTGAACCCTGACGCCAAGTGCAAGTACGGCCTGTACTTCAGAGACGGCAAGCGCAAGGTGGACTACATCCTGGTGTACCATCACAAGCGGCCGTCGGGCAGCAGGCCTCTGGCCAGGCGGGTCCAGCACCATGACGCCACCCCGGGGACCCGCAGCGCCAGGCGGGACCAGCCCCTGCCCGGCAAGGGGAGCCCAGTGGATGGGGGCTCCCCTGAGCTCCCCACGGACCACCACGAAGACGACAAGCACTTCCGCAGGGAGGAGTACGAGGGCAACCTGCTGGAGGCGGGCCTGGAGCTGGAGAGGGACGAGGATGTGAGTGCGGGCCAGCGCCAGCGCTTCCCTGGGGGGCGGGGGGGGGAGGGCTCCTCCAGCGTCCTCCCATCTCAGAGAAGGGCCAGGCGGCAGCTACTCTTGTTTTCCAGGTGGGGTCCAGATCGCTGGCAAACTGCTCGGGGGCAGTCCCCAGCCAGTCTTTCTCTGGTCACCCCCCCCCCCCCACCCCCCCCCCCCCGGGGCGGCCAGGGCCAGCCAGCTCTGGGGCTCTGACCTCCAGGTCACGGCTTCCTGCCTCTGCTCAGGGCCTGGCCTGGGAAGATGGCCCTGGTTGGAGGGACTGAGCACGCAGATGTCTGGAAGGGGCGGGGCTCCTAGATGACTGAGTCCCTTCTTGTAAGTGGAGGAAGATCCCTAGGCCCCAGGGCCCTGCTCTGAAACAGGAGTAACCTCTTTGGGAGGTTTCCTGTTAAGAGAAGTGTCGGCCGAGAACACGCATCCACTTGCCCCTCGGGCAGGAGGGTGGCTTCACTGGGAGCCACCTTCAAATACTGGTTACTGTGCATTTCCAGGCTGGTGTCCTAGCCTCTCTGTGTGCTGTGTGCCCTTCCTTCCCAGGGAGTGGAAGGGGGAGGGAGCCCTGGCCGGCAGAGCTGCTGCTGTCCAGATTAGTTGAGAATCCGCAGAGCTCGCACATAGGATGGGAGAAAAAGTCACCAAGGGATGGAGTCGGAACCGTTGGGGGAATGGTCGCCCACAGGGAGCCGCCAGGTCTTTGAAGTCATTGAAGCTGCTGCTGGCTCAGTGACAAGAATGCTTTTGGGGTGCTCACACCCCACAGCCAGTTAAGTATGGACTATTGTAAACAAGTGGATACAAACCATCGGCACTGGCAGTGTCACGGAATGGCGTGAAGCGCAGAGTGTCTCTCGGGCCGGCTCTGCGTGAGGCTGGTCATCCGCGAGGTCTCCAACTTCACTTCCCACTGGCGTTCCAACGGGACCTGGCGGGCTTTAAAAAGCTTGGATGGCTAGGAGGCAGGCCAGGGGCCTTACATGGCTGGGATTGGGGGTTAGAGGTCAACACAGGCAAACAATTAGAGAGACCCAATCTCAACAAACTAGCTGGGCACGGCGGTTTACGTCTGTGGCCCCAGAAAGATTTGCAGATTGCTCAGACTTTTTTTTTTAATGCCAATACTGGGGCGTAAACTTAGGCCCAAGCTAAGGGCTCTGTCCCTTCCCACTTGAGCTACACCTCCACTTCTGGTTTTTTGGTGGTTTATTGGAGGTTAGAGTCTCCTGGAGCCCAGGTACCAGTTGTTCACACCTGTAATCCTAGCTACTCAGGAGGCTGAGAGCTAAAGATTACAATCCCAAGCCAGCCAGGCTGAAAAGTCTTATCTCCAGTTAACCACCAAAAAAAAACCGCAAGTGGAGATGTGGTTCAAAGTGGTAGAGTGCTAGCCTTGAATAAACAATGCTTACTGGCAGTGCCCAGCCCAGGCCATGAGTTTAAGCCCCACGACCAACCAACCAACCAATAAGCAAACAAAGTAGCCTCTGGGACTTTCCTGCCTGGGATGGCTTTGAACTGTGAATCAGCCTCCTGAGTAGGTAGGCACAAGACACTAGTGCTCGGCCAGATTTCCCAGACTTGAGTCTGGCAGCTGCCCGGAGACAAGCATATATTGTTCTTCTCAGTTTTCTGTCTTACTTTGAGCAAAGCAGTTCCTGCCCTGCAGCTTCTTGAACAATGTGGCTACTATGCGGAGTTGATTTGAGCCGGCCGCTCCTCACTGGAGGAAGGAGGCTGGAGGCCTGAGGCGCCGGCAGTGTGGCTGGGAACCCTACCCTCCTGCGGGCTCGCTCCAGTCCTGATAGTCTTTCCTGAGGCACATTTAAACGTTCAGGTTGGCAGCTACTGGGATAGGTGACAATCAAACTGTCCCGGGCCAGACCCCAGGACTCGACCTGTCCGCTCTGCACTGGAGGCCTCAGTTTCCCCATCTGGGAAATGGAGATAACAGTGGCATTCACATCACTGGGTTTTCTCCAGTAACCCCAGTGAGGCGCCCTCTGCAGAGCCCGGCACCAGTGAGGCTGTATTCCGTACAAGGCTTGTCCTCATTGGCTGTTATTCTGTACGAGGCTTGTCCTCATTGGCTGGCATTCCATAGTGAGGCTTGTCCTCATTGGTTGGCTCGTCCTCATTGGCTGGCATTCTGTAGCAAGGCTTATCCTCATTGGCTGAATTCTACAGTATAGCAGAACATCTTTTCCAAACCCCTTTATGCCTTTGAAATAAGAAGCAAAAAAATGACATTAGTTACGTTTGCAAAAAAAAAAAAAATCTAAGCTGGGTGCTGGTGGCTCATGCCTGTAATCCTAACTACTCTGGAGGCTGAGATCTGAGAATCGAGGTTCAAAGCCAGCCTGGGCAGGAAAGTCCATGAGACTCTTAGCTCCAATATACCAGAAAACCGGAAGTGGTGCTATGGCTCAAATGGTAGAATGCTAGCTCGAGCTGAAGAGCTGAGGGACAGTGCCCAAGCCCAGAGTTCAAGCCCCAGGAACAACCAAAAATAATAATAATAACTCTATGCCAGTGGTTCACACCTATATTCCTAGCTACTCTATGAGGCTGAAATCTGAGCATCAAGGTTCAAAGCCAGCCTGGGCAGACAAATCCACAAGACTATAATTAACTACCAGAAAGCTGACTATGGAATTATGGCTCATGTGGTAGAGTGCCAGCCTTGAGTGAAAAAGCCAAGCAAGAGAATGAGGCCCTGAGTTCAACCCCTGTGTGCGTGCACGCGCACACACACACACACACACACACCACCCATAGATTTTTCCAATAAATGACCCCAAAATGTCATTCATAATTTGACTCCAGAACTAAATCAGGTTTTTCAGCAATTGATCTAACCCTTTTAAAAATAAAAGCTATGATACGTAGTTAAGACAGTTCAAGTTTTCTAAGTGTCCACACCTGAGTTGTATCACCTCCCTGCTGGGGTCTTGGTTTACAGGGCCCCAGGGAAGCCTGAGCGCTCCCTCCCAAATGCACCTCAGGGTGTGTGGTTGCCAGAGTGGCTGTCAGGAGTGGTAAAACCAGGTTTTTAGACCCCAGGCCCAAAGTCCAGGAGTTCCAAGTTAGGTCTGGCCACTCGCTTCCTCATGGCTAAACAAAAAGATGTGGTGAAAGGCGGAGATTTATTACTTGGCAGTCATTGGAAGATAGCACCGAAATCGTCTCCCCAGGGAGCAGGCTCTGGCTTCTGGGTAGTCAGGGATTAGGGATGGGGTGGGGCGGGGCTGTCAAAGCAGTCCTGGATCACAGGTGTGGCTCTGCTGGTGTGGCTGCTGGTCTGTAGCTTTTGGCTGTGGAAGATGGGAAGTGGCCCCTGCCTGGGGAGCAGCGGCTAACCTTCCACACAAGCTACTTCTGGGCGAGCCCTGTCCATCCTGGGGCTGACTGCAAAGCGTCTGCGGGAGAGGGCGCCTGGGATCCAAGGACACAGATAGAGAGGGGCGCTGGGGCCCCACGTCTCTGCTTTTTAGTTGGTTCATGGGTTCAGCCACAGAAGCTCTCGCATTGCCTCGCCCACCGGCTCCCTGTTGCTTGTCAGATCGGGGGAAGCAGGGCTCGAGACAAGGCTGTGCGCACACTGACATGTGTGCACGCAGAGGTGTGCCCAGGATCAGGGTGTGTGGCAGAGGGGGCCGCTTGATTCGGGGAGAGCGGCTCTGCTGATAAGCCCTGGTCCCGGGGTGGGCTCGGGCTATGGCGGAGCCCCTGCTGCACAGCATCACCGGAGTTGGAGCAAAATCTGGGGCTTTGGTGCACTTTATTTTGGGTGGGGTTTGGTTTTGGACTTTTTGATGCTGATACTGAGGCTTGAACTCAGATCCTAGGTGCTGTCTCTTAGCTCTTTTGCTCAAGGCTAGCGCTCTGCTCCTTGAGCCACACCTCTGCCTGGCTGCTTGCACAGTGTTCACAAATGTTCACAAATGTGCCCTGAGCCAGAGCACCACCCCCCCACCAGTGCAGGGAACCTTGCTTCAAGGCTGGACCGTGAGACCACAGAGTCAGGGTGTGGCTGGGCCACGTCCTTCTGCTTCTGCCAGCGTCTCAGAGCTCAGGCCCCTTGGCTTGCGGCCCCACTGCTCCGCCTCTGCCTCCATCTTCACCCGGCTCCCTCTGCTGCAAACTTCAAGCTTCCTTCTGTGAGGGTTGCCGTGGCCAGGACCCCGGTAACCCCCAACCGTGTTCCTGGCATGTGACCACAGCAGGAGGACCTTGTTTCCAAAGTAGGGACACACTCGCAGGTCCTGGGGGACCAGACTGGAGCCGCTGGCTTGGGGGACACTGTTCTGACCCCCCCCCACCTGAGGCTCTGCTGGAGTCTGTGTGTCCTGGGGCAGAGCCCAGGTGCAGCACTGGTACTGAGAGCCGCGGCTCACGGTGGTGGCCGCTCTTGGGGTGGCGCCAGCCTCCCTTGGAGTCAGGCTATGCTCCGGTGCCTGGGGCTCTGTGCCGATGTAGGCGATAGGGCGTCTGCCCTGAGCCTAGGCTGTCCTTTGAGGCAAAAGGAAACGCCAGAGCCCCCAGAGAAGGACTCCGCAAATCCACAAAACCTGCAGATGAGTGTCCAGACCCAGAATCCAGAGGTTTATCTCAGAGGGAGGCCACAGACACCCCAAGAGAGGCCCTGGCGGGCGGGGAAGGGCTGGGCACTCCTCACAGGGCCACCTGCAGCACGGCCCCCACCCAGTGTGGCGGGGACCCAGGCCCCAGGGCCTGATGGGAGAAGCAGGGAAGCCGGTGTCCTGAGAAAGGGGATGGGCTCCCCCTCTTTACCCCCTGTCTCTCCCTCCCTATTCCCTCTCACTTTGTCTCTGCCTCTCCTCTGCTGTTCCCATCCCTCCCTCCCCCAGCCCCTCTGTGTCTCCCTTTTGTCTCTCTGACCTTTCCTCTCTCTCCCTTTCACCCCTCTCGTTGTCTCTTTCCCTCTTCCTGTCCTCCCTGTC